GGGTGTCTTTTATCTGTTAATTTGTTCATTTTGTTTGTCATTTTAAGACTAGAATGATGTTTTCTTACTATATAAGCGTTGTTTTGCCCCCCCTCCCCTACACACACACACACACACACACACAAACACCTCTTCCTTTCACGTCCTAATACAACCCCCACCACGTCTCCCAAAGTGCTCGGTAGTATTTTTTCGGACGTTTTAACTTGTGAGGCAGCGTGGTGGAATCAGGCTCTCGTCAAAATAATCAAAGTGAAGAAACTTGCATTTTTCCGCTGGTTTGTGAATTTTTATAAAATTTTTGTTTTTTGGCTCAACACCTTTCATGTCTATTGAAAATCTCATTTCAGTGTGGATTTTTCTGAAAAACCTTGATTAAAGGCACAAAAGATGTAAATTTTCAGCTACCACGGACTCTTAAGCTAAGAAATAACTAATCTTTGGCGGCCATTTTCTCACTAATTTTACATCTGAAAACAGGTGACCCCCACCTCCTTCTTTCGCAAATATCTCAACTTGTATTTAAGATAAATGGATATTTTTTCATAGAAATAAAGACAAGTGAACAAGCTTTAAGATGATACCAATAACTCTACATGCCCAAAAATTGACGAGAGCCTGATTCCACCACGCTGCCTCACAATTATTCCTCACCTCACATTACATTCCAAACCCGCAATCCTGAAAAAAGAGTGGGATTATAACTATCTTTCTTCTCTCTGTTTCAGTCTTCTTTTTCAATACCAAGAAGGAAAACAAACTCGTGGTAGACTGGGATACTTCCCGCTCTACGTCCAATGACACACTCCCTTTGCCGAAAAATTCTAGTTATTAATTTTGCGCAATATTTTTCTGAGGAATTTCACTAGTGCAAGTCAAGGACACGTTTAGCAGTCGTTTAGATCTAGTGAGGTGTGGAGCAAAGGAGTCGTTCCTTTCATTATGTCGTCCCGGGCAAAGGTATCATGTACCCGAGTTCAACGTTATTCTGCGAGTTGAAAAGGCACAAAATACAATTTTCTTTTTAAAGCACATGATTGTTAGCAGCATGACTAAATCTACAATGCTGGATTAAACTTCAGTTTTTGTTTTCTTGTTTTCTTTTTTTCTGTTTTTTTTTCTTCTTTAAAAAAAAGTATTATCATTATTGTTTAAATATCATTCGGTCTTCTTCCTTCAGCTTGGGAAAAATTGGAGTTACCTTTGTTACTAAATGCTTCATAATATTATATCATTATAATTATGAAAAATTTAATGATTTTTAAAAAATTGAAAATCCAGGCCAAAATAATAATAATATTATTTAAAATGTCTTTTCGGACAAAATGCATTTTTATATCACGAGCACTGGAAATCTAAGGGTAAGTATGTCTCATATTATTCTAGTTCTAAGCAATGAGTATTGAGTATGAATGCGCAATAAACAATAAGGAGCAAATAAAGATTTGAATGTATGAATGAATTATCGCGGGGAATTTAATTTTTATTTGCTCTTTTATTATACATGATTTTTTCTTTTGTTGTTTATTTGGTGTTTTTTTTTTCAGCAACAGCAACAATTGCATACATACACTCTTCAAGATGGGTCAACTTGTTGATGGTAACTGTTGTAAAGATGGAAATAATCATGATAATCGAGACACCGAAATGATAGTGAAGATGACAATGGTGATTACACAATCTTGTCCATGCCATATATGCCATAATTGATTTGATAAAGTACACAGCTTTGTGAAAAAACAAAAAGAAAACAAACAAAAACAAAGCAACCCCCCCCCCCACAAAAAACAACCCCAAACAAACAATTAGACAAAGAAACAAAAATCAAAACGAAACAGAATAGCAAAACAAACAAAATCCTGGTATAAATTATTCTTAATCCGAACTGGCGCCAAAACTGCAAACAGAGGGGAAATGTGGCGCCACAGTGGGCCCTCTTCCCGCCCCTCTTCCTAGTTCTTCCGTAACGTACACTCTTGTTACAATTATTTTGCATAGCCCACTGCGAGTAGACAACCCTTACGCACACTTGCCAGTCTTTTTTATTTCAATCAGCAGACCTAATTTGTAGCTTCAACTGTGTCCCCAGAGACGAGACGATACATCTTGCTTGTTAGCTTGGACTCCGCAATGCTTTTTTTATTTTTAGCCCGTATTCTTAAGTGGATTTTCTCTAAACATGACAGCACGCAGACAATTTTGTGGCCACTCCATCATTCTCGTGTTTTCCCCTGAGGCAACCGAGTGACCATCATCTCATGTCCAGTTATGGCCAACGACCAAAATATCTCCAGGGCGAATTGTGAGCGCTCGTGTGGGGGTTTTAGTCGTGGGCAGGTAAAGATTGCTTCCGGTCACAGTTAAAGAGTATACTTCCGGTCAAGACGGATCATCACGGGTTCGCGCGTGGCTCTCGTCACACGTCATGATTGATACGACTGTTGCTGCAGGGTTTGAACTTGGACCTTGCGGATTACGAACACTCAAGCTAATCCGCGCTCCTTCCCCCTCCCCAATTTTCTCCCCACATCAGGTCATGCACCCCTAATATGATTGCGTAGGTTTGTGACAGTCAAAGTGCGGTTAACTGGAGGGATCAACGCACCAAAATTTCAGCTACTAAGATTTCTGTCTAAAAAAGGAAAACAATTGGGCAAACTTGCCAATCGTCCATCCTGGTT